CGTCTGTCCTTTGGTTAAACACTAATGACATTTTGTGAATGCACTATATATCACGATAACGAAACCGATAAATATCTTATCTCATATAATCTTGGTACATACAGTTTTACTTTAGTTGTAGTATTCTGTCACTCAGTTTATATTGTGCAGTGCTTAAACAAACTTCTATTTATTTTCTATATTTTATTTAAAATGGAAAAATTTAATGCGAAATTGAATATTTTGTTAAATGAAAAAAATGTGAATAGTGTGTATTTAACCAAATTAAAATACGACGAATTGAACATATAATTAATATAAAGAAGAGTTCTTAAAAATTGAAGCCAAATGATCATAAACTCTTAAAGAAATATGATGTAATAAAAATATCTGAAATTAACAAATTAATTGTTCCAGTAACTACAGGTAATAATAATTATTATATTAAATATAATATATTATCATTGATTATATATTAAATTATTATATTATTATTATTATATTATATTATTATATATTAAATATTTATAATGTATACTTAATCAATGATATTATATACTAATTTAATTATACTCGTTTATATGGTTATTTATATAAGAGTATTACAATTTATTTTTTTAATTAATTAAATTTTAAATGTATTTAAAGGTTATGAAATATAATATTATGTGCATAATGTTCAGTTATATGATATTATACATGTTACATATAACTATTTATACTTTATAAGAAAAAAATAATATTAATATACTATATTACATTGCCCAATATACCTTGGACATTATATACAATGCCTGGGCATTGTATACATTGTCCGAATTTTCCACTTTGCCCGTAACATATATACATATATACATATATATTAATAATCATTCAATCAATCAAGAGAATCTAATCATCTACGCATGTAGGTGCTTATATTTTCGTTGTAAATACTTGATTTATTGAATACCCATTTTTATTATTTTTTATTTTATTACCTATTTATTAACTGGACAAAAAATTCTAAAATGAAACAATTTTCACAAAAACTTTTTGAAGATTCCATCAACACTACTAACAATCATATCAAGTATGCTGCAATTAGCTTATTTCGAATAAACTCATTGCGACTGTAACTCATATTTTCGGTTGATACGAAAGTAGTTTTTTTGAAATGTGAAATAGTTTAAATTGTTGATAGGACTCTGATTTTAAATTTTAATTTTGAGCTAAATAAAATAAATTGATTCAATTTAGACTAATATTATCTGAATGCAGTGAAAGAAAAAGAAAAATTATAGGAAATGTGGCGAATGCTTGGGTTCCTTGTATCGAAAACCAAAGAAACGTGCATTTGAAAAATGTGCAAAATACACGACCATATTTAAGGTAACGAAAATAAAGTATAAGAATAGAATATAAACGTGGTGGTAAAATGTTCCTCGTACACAAAACCCGTAGGATAAGGAAACGAAGTTAACGTATTAACAAAATTAAATGCCTTAAATGGATCACACTGGTATATATATATATATATATATATATATATATATAGTAATGGTGGTACAGGAATTTGGCTAAGAAACTGATACTCCTGAGAAATGAATACTGAAAATTCTCGACATTCTGCGTACGTGCAAAACATTAGTATATTCATCATATATGTGTATGTATATATACATAATAACTTCAAGAAAACTGTTTTGGATGAAATAATTTTATGATTTCTTCTTCTGACGTTTATTGATACATTACTGTATATTTATCGCGATATTAATATTATTGTATAAGATTGATAAAGTACTACAAACTATTTTCATACTAGGTGAACAAAAAACGACACAAAATATTGCGTTTTTGATATTTTTATTTTTAATATTATATACGATCGAAGTTGGTTCTCTAAACATTTAGATATTAATGAGTTTACCTATATTTGTTTACGTACATTGTTCTAAACAATTAAGTCATTGTATGATTTTTAATCAACTTATGCGTGGTTTCAGATTAATTGTATTCGACCTCAACATTGAATTACACATTGTTCTACGTTACGTGGTTTTGGACCGATGAAAAATTCCACGTTTGCTACACCGAACACTATGAGATTACCGGAATGTAGCGGACCAATTATTTTTTATTCCATTTCGTACACGGTTCGATAGTTTTCAATATACGGATTTCCTATACCAGATTTACGTTGGCCGGCGGTGAAGCCACTGACCGATGGGTCAGATATGATAACTACAGCGCACGCAGCTGCCTCAGCGTTTATGTCGTTACCGTTTAAACATAATTCCAGTTTTACGGTCCACAATTACGGTGGACTGAAACGGCGGTCGACGGAACATTTACGGGGACACATTGCTCGTTTTCGTTAAGAGACCGCCGTGCAAATCGTCGGGACGAAATAAATGTATTTGTTGGCCGATGAAGTTGCGCGCAAGTAAAACCCGGTGCTTCTAAGTTTCCGCCAAACTTATTATTCGATCAAAGGACGGAAGTTATTTTTCATTTTTAACGTTACGAGATCTGCTCCGTCGTCGTAAATTAAGCGCTCGTGAAAACGGTGGACTCACCGTCTAGTCAACGCACGTTTTCCGATAATCGCATTGGTCCGTCGACTAACCGATCGTACGCCACGCGCACCGGCGTGGAACGGTTTCATCTCGCGTCCGCTGTTTGTTTTCGATGCGGGAGAAAACAAACCGACAGGCGACACGCGGAATAACAACGCTAATAAAAGAAATGGACGAGTCTTTTGACGAAGGACAGGACGGGATACGATGGAGAACCGTGTGCACAGAACGCTCAGCGATTGGTGCGCAGAACCGTTTACTCGGTAATCCCGTCGCGTACGACCCGGCGCGGAACTAGGGGTGGAAGATGGGGATTCATCTTCGGACGTAACATTTTAGAGGGTGTCATTTTTGTAATTATTAATAATTAATTTGATATTTTTAACTTTGTTAAATACTGATATTAGATAAAAACTCAATAAGTATGATTATATATTAATTAGTAGAAAAAAAGTTCTCAAGAAGAGTATTTAATTATTGATTTATGATAGGGCATAATTTTAACATTTTTTCAGGGTGTAAAAATTCCTAGTTCCACCTCTGCATATGATGTGTATACTAAGAGAAAAACAAACAGCATCTATTGTAGTTGACGAACCGAACGTCCCTGTGGGTTTTTAGGCGACAGCCGAGTCACAGTAAATCCGTAGTGTGTTCCAGTAAGACGATTTTTCGTCGTCTATCGCGATACCCTTATCCTTGCTTTTGTTCAAAACCGTGTGCACACCACAACGAGCACGACCGTTGGAAAATCGAAGGGATTCGCGTCTGACAAGTCGTCTACGTCATTTACGACGTAGACCGTCGACGTGACCGAAACATTTACATTGCGTTATTTTGACACGGTCAGGATTGGCACCAGCTATTCCTGCCACGACGGACCGACGTCGAGGTGCTTTCGTGGTTTTTTCACAACGGTTTCCTGTCTGCAATTCTACCACTACCTTTTCTATTTCATGTCTATTCCCTCTGATCATTTCAACACGTGCATACCTGTTTCAGATTTAAAAAGTAATACAGGAATTATATTTCCAATAACAAATCCAAACTTCCTCTTAATATCCCATACTCGTGCATTGTGTGAACCTATTAAAATGTACGAATAGACGTTACACTGTTAAAATTTTACTTTCTAAAAAAATGCGCAAACCACAAAACTGATACGTATATCCACGATTGTTGATATATTTATTTGTAGATATTAGTAATGGAAAAGTTTTTAATTAACATAGATTTAGATATTTTACAGCGTTTCTTAAATATTAGCCATTATTGAGAGCAGTGTGTAAAATATGTACTAGCATTTTATCAAATATTTTTAAAATTCATTTTTAATATTTTAAAGATTGCAAAAAATAAATTAATAGACATTAACTGAAAAATGAGATTATAATAATAGATAGATTATGAAATATATTCAGAAATTATAATTTATACTTTTTATAATATCAATACATTATACATATATATATATATATATATATATATATATATATATATATATATATAT